TGCAAAAAAGTCTTATTTTGCAATTTTCGCAATAGTTAACAAGATATTAATTACTAAAAATAGCCGAATATTCTTTAGTCTTTAATAAACTTTTTCTCAAATACTATCAACTTTACAGAAAAACTGTAAGAGATAAAAATTGTTTATTTTCTTTTCATAAAGTTCTGAGAACTTTTTCAGAATTTTTTAATATCGTATTTTCTCATGATAATAAAAATAAGAAAATGCAGTGATAAAAAGTTGATAACAAATTCTGAAAAAATTCTTAGACTTCTATGAGAAGAAAATAAACAATTGACAGCAAAGACAACAGTAACAAGTTGTCATATGCTCTGTGCAAGGTTTTATTTTTGGACCTTTAAATTATTTTTAGAAAAAAGAAATAAAAAATAAATACAATATAACAATTTATAATTAATTTTTGTTATACACAAAAAATATACAAAACCATTTATATATATGTGTATTTATAAATGAAAATAATTATTTTAGTTGTACTTTTCTGGTTTTCAATTCAGTACAATCATTATACATATAAAGTAAAATTACTAGTTGTGGATCACTCTTCGTAAAAAAATTCATATTTTTTAAAATATAGAATTCGCTCGTATTATGCAAAGCAACTGTGAGAAAGTCAGGTCAATAATCGAGCTAATTATCAGATGTATAAATTAAAATTTATAACATTTATTGTATAAAATCTAATAAATACGTTTCATGACAACGGGTCACTTCTTCAGCGTATAAAATTGATAACATTAATAACAAAAATAAATAAAGAAATATCGAGTCGCTAAATTATCGTTCTTAATTAAAATAATAGAGAGTTTTTGTAATATCTGAATCTAGATACAGTCACGTTATCTTTTTCTTAATTAATTGTTAAGAAAAAGATAACCTGAATTTAACGTTCACCGTATCTGAATAAACGGTATTGCAAAAACTCTCTATTGCTAGTCTTGACAACGTAAAAGATGTTGTAAATCTTGAGAGATCCTTGTACAGAAAATTATTGGAAATATTGTACATATTAATTATTAGTCCCGAAGCAAGTGCCGAATCCTTGATGAAATTACAATTGTCAATTCTCTCAATTGATTAGTCATCGCAGTTTCGTTGATAAGCGAAAATCAGATAACAATCGAAGTTAATGATGTAAAAGTTTGGATATTGTAGTATCAAACTTGAGAAGTCAACACAAATCACTCCAACTCAGTCAAACATACAAATTCAAATTTTGACCTGTCAAAGATATACCTAAAAAAAATCTACATTCCAAATGTCACCATAGAGGTGAGATAGATCTATAAAATATTATATATCATCCCATCAGCTCTTTTCTCTTGGAAAAATCTTATCCGATTTCGTCAAATGGTGATAATAAGCTTTCTAATAAAAGTAAACAACTCTTGGGCATTTATATGCTGGACTTATTTCGCTGCGCTTATATTGTTTTCGATAGCCGATAAGCTGGTATAGCCATGTTATTCGGCGATTTAGGGATTTCAATTTATCCTGAATATTAGGGAGGTGATTCCGGGGCTCAATTAATCTTAGTGCAACTATTGGAGGAGCTTTTTAGGTTAGGCATCTGATGGCTACCAATAGCATCCGCTGTCTTTTTTTCTGGAGAGAACAACGAACATCACGGACCTATTGAATTTCGAAAAGCAACCAGTAGGCGTTATTGCCTTCACCCGTTTTAGGTCTTTTCTTCTTTGGGAAGATTCCGGGAAGATTAATGGAAGATTGTTCCCTCTACTCACAAACAAAACTTTTGTTCTCTCCAGAAAAAAAGACAGCGGATGCTATTGGTAGCCATCAGATGCCTAACCTAAAAAGCTCCTCCAATAGTTGCACTAAGATTAATTGAGCCCCGGAATCACCTCCCTAATATTCAGGATAAATTGAAATCCCTAAATCGCCGAATAACATGGCTATACCAGCTTATCGGCTATCGAAAACAAACAAAAATGGCTTATTTTTTACAATTCATTCTCGAAATTAAACTTATTCCTCATCTCTTTTTAATTTTGAGAATTGAATTTTCAATACTAACAACTAGACTGGGTCTTAGAAATCTTAGAATCATTCAAATTCATCTTCTTTTCCTTTCCTTGTTAGAAAAAACAAAAAAATAAATCGTGCAAGAAGTTCAGCCAAAAAGAACAAGCTTAATATCTTTCAAAAAAAAAAAAAAAAAAACCAAAAGACGAAGAAGCCAATCATCCTTGGATATCAATGAAAGCGACAGTGATAATTATATAAATGATGTCTCGGTAGTCTAAAAGGCTTAGGACGCTCGCACGGAATGCAAGAAATCCGGGTTCGACTCCCTGCCGAGGCAATATTTTTCGCAATAAATTTATTACAGTTTTTTAAGATTTGGGAAATTTTGGGGGGATTATTTGTTTCAGATTTATTGTATGAATCCGATAATCTCATCGGCTCGCAATTTATTTCTGAAAATTAATTCAATTTAAATGATTATATATTATATAGTAGTTCAACATCTTAACACTCGGACCGGTAAGGCGTTTCGTTATTTCAAGTTTTAATATAAACGGTCTCGTTTCCAATCATATTGTATATAAATGATGTTATACAATATCGGCGTCGCGAGAGCCGTATAATGTGTCGGTTTAACGTTACATCAAAGTAACGGGTAAACTACGCGGTAAATAATATCAGAATGTTGCATAAATCGATGATATCTGCAAAGGGTCAGAAAAAGCGTGCGATAAGTCGCGTTACGACGTTCGAGATAGAGAGCCTACGGCTTTAAACATTTTCATGTTGTATAGATGGAGCAATTTTTAAACTGAAATTTGTCCTGTTTCTAAAAGTAAAAAATCATTATTAAGTAACTGAAATTATATTTAACGGATTGAAGGACTCTTCCTATAAAATAAATAACAATAAATAAAAGGCAAAGTAAGAATCAATACATTTCTTTAAAAAAATCACACAATTAAAAGAATAAATTACATATAGAGAAAAGTAAAATTAATTAAAATATATAATGAAAAATAAAAAATTATATAATAATAAGTATGCCACTGGTAATCAATGAATTAAATGAGATTCTTAATCTAGCTAATCTTTATTAAGTGATCTAACTAACCTTGTTTTATGCTCAAATTCAATGAATATGATATTGAAATTAACATGCAAATATCAATATTTTAGTTATATAATGCTTAAACATTCTTCCTTTTTTAGTTTAACTAATCACTTCACTAATTATCAGTGCCAAGTACTGGGTATTAGTGACTATTCACTGTG